AAGATATTCAGTTTAAAATGATATAAAACAGTAAAGCAGTTGCATTTTGGCTTGAAAACGTTGTCAAATGGCTAATTGATTATTCATTATTATATTTCATTCTAATCATCTTATCATTGCAAACATAGCTGGTGTGATGTCTTCACATTGCTTGTTTTGTCTGACTAAATTAGCCCATCCTTGATAAGCTGGCAACCAGCAACTGTTTGATGTTTGCTTGACTTCAACGATTAATTAATTGTCAAAATGACTGTTGTTGATTCATTTTTGGTCAGTTAACTAAACGATTCATTGACTAAGGACTAGTTCATTCTTTCTTTTTCCTCCTCTGCTCTTCAAAGCCAATGAGCCATGTAGTTACCTCCACTGTGGGCCTAACACCTGTCAGTTGTGTGTATGTGTGTGTGTGTGTGTGTGTTAATCCTGCTTTGTTTGAGGACAGTCCCTCGACTAAACATTATCCAAACAGTCTGTATTCAGAGGCTTTCATTCGATTGGTTGATGAGGTGGAGTGAGGCCATGTGTCAGACTGTGTGTGTGTGTGTCTCAGGTGCAGCTGGCAAAGGGGCTCAGGCTATTTTAGGCACACAGGAAGCATTGGGAGCATGCACAGACACATAAAGGTGGAGATTTCCCTGTGGGGCGCATGCAAAATGTGTTTTGAAGACGAGTGAAAATAGGAAATATTCTTCCAAATGGCTGCAAGATAGGTTAAATTAAAGGGAGTTTATGCAGAACTGGTGATATTAAATCACATGCAGCCACGTGTAACGTATTTCCAGTTTTTACAGTTTAAATCCGCTGTGTACTCAGTTGACAGTAATGAATAAACAAAGTCATGCCATGTCACAACCCATCACACACTGACCTACTGAACAAACACAGCAGCCAGGGGACAACACCACACCCTCAACTGTCACCTGACGGATGTTTTTTTATTTTTCGCAGCAAAACCACACAAAGAAACAAACAGATCGCTATGGGGAGGAAGAAGTTCAACATGGACCCAAAAAAGGTCAAAGAACTAAATGATTATTGGTCAGAATCAATAACGTTGTTACTGCTTCATTACACTTATATGATTTGATTTAGCCTTCTCCGAGCCATCTATCAGTGTTATTAAAACAGACAGAATAGGTAACTGTAGTGTGACTGTGCTCTTTTTTTCCTTTTTCTTACAGGGGATCCAGTTTCTTTTGGAGAACGATCTTCTTCAGAACACCCCAGAGGACATTGCGCAGTTCCTCTACAAAGGCGAGGGGCTCAACAAAACAGTCATTGGGGACTACTTAGGGGAACGGTGAGCTCTACAGTTTTTCTTTCCACCTTTCTTTTTTCCTCTCCCCATCTCTCTGTCATATCTGCACTGCACGCGCTCAGACGAGGGCATAAAGCCCCAGGAAATTGGTAGTCTGGATTTATGTAGCAGAGCAGCAACGGGAGACCATGCCAGTAAAATAACTGAGCGGACATGTGGTTCTTATCGAAGGGAAATCAATGGGGATAAGACTGTCAAAACAACAGGGATTTCATTGCGGCCTGGCTCAGCCGGCGCTGTCTGTCGCTGTCTGAAACTGGTGCTGTGACATAGCTGCAGGATTTTTACTTTCCACAAATTCTTATTCTTAAGTGCATTTTCAAAAACAAATCCCATACCAGCAGTCTAGTGTCTGTTTTTTCAGTTTCAGTAAAAATGTGTAAATAGTTAAACATGTGTGACACCCTCCCTCCTTCTTCTCCAGGGATGACTTTAACATCAAGGTCCTGCAGGCGTTTGTGGAGCTTCATGAGTTTGCAGACCTCAACCTCGTACAAGCCTTAAGGTGAGTTAATGGGTCTGAAGGGTCTGTGTGAGAGTATTCCTACAGGTGAAATATGAACAAGGACATCCATTGATAATTGTAGTGGTTTATAATAGTATCAGAGAGAACTGTATGTGTCTATTATGGCATCAGTCATTGCATGAATGTACAGGAATGTGCTCTTGTATGTATTTTATGAAATCGGCTAACGCAATGCCCGGACAGATGAGGCTATGTTGTACCAAAAGTTGGGCCAGGTTTAACATCTTTGCAGAAGACCCTGTCATTTATTTGATGGAGGCCTCTACATTGGCATCACCACTGCATCAAGGCAATGGTCTAAAATCAATGGTATGATGTCATTTATTCACACAGTGTTAGTCATTATGCTGTATTCACCTTGTATGGGATATATCACTTATATATACTTATAACAATTAATTTTGCGCTTTACCTATATAACAGACTTCTATGTTTGTTTTGTTTTCCAGACACTTGTGTATTTTTGTATGATTAAGCATCAGAAAAAGAAAAAATGGCCAGATGGTGTCATTGAAAAACCAAAACCTATAACTGAATTTCTGGCACTGCTTTATGGGGTCGTCATATAGACAGTATGTCAATATGAGAGTTAAGGACTGATGTACTTTTGCATTTTGGTTTCTTGACTGTGCATAGACTAATACTGGTACAGTTCTAAGACAATCCTTGTGAGGGGAGGACAGTGTTGTTGGCGCCACTGATTTCATGATCGGTCGTTATGTTTTCTCTCTCTGCTCCTGTTGTAGGCAGTTTCTGTGGAGCTTCAGACTTCCTGGCGAAGCCCAGAAGATTGATCGTATGATGGAGGCGTTTGCCTCCAGGTACTGCCAATGCAATCCCGGCGTCTTCCAGTCCACAGGTACCACACACACACACACTGCACTGATGTATGAGTCAGACTCAGCTAGACAGTCCAGGACAGATACTATGGGCCAGCCAGACCACCTCAGCCTTTAGATCAATGCTTCTGACTGTCTGTCTTCCCTCACTAGACAGCTGGACCTGTTTGGGCTGTATAAATCTAAAATATCCACTTTCAGAGAGTCTTACGAAGGTTTATTCTCTCTTCTCAGTCTAAACTTGACTGGACCAACAGTCTGTTTAGTTCTCCATTTTCCAGCGTAGTTAGCAACTTGCTCACTAATCGCAGTGTAATCACTATTTGTGTCTCCAGCAGTGATAATGAAATTGATCCCCGGTCAATAGTGGTCATTAGCGCAGTCTTTGGCCCATCGTAGATCGTCTGCTGCTCCTGTGTTAACCGAGCCAGCGTTGAGGAGGACACAGGTGACAGCTCAGGTCATGAATATTAATGTGGTGCAGTGGTGACACACCCAGACTTAGTTATTGGTCATCTCTCAGGACCCCTGCACTCAGGGTCGTAAATTACGGAGCAGGGGATGTTGACTGGGGCAGTTAGTGTGTGGATGGATGAGATGGAGGATGGTTTGCAGGAGTTATGATGTGGAGTCGCGAGAGCAGTGGATCATAGTGTGTGTGTGTGTTCACTGACTTCACTGCCTCATGGCCTTGAAGAGTGCCATAAGAGTGTGTGACCCAGAATATTGGGCTCTTTATTGATTAAATTCTACTTTTTATTAGGCAGAGTCCTACATTTGGTGGTGAGAAAATCTTTAGATGGTTTGCTGCCTAATTAATCACAAATAATTTGTGCTGTCATCTCAGTATCGTTATAATAAATGAGAAATTAAATATCGTCCACTGTGCAGCAATGATACATATATTATCTTTTTACTTTTGCAAATATAAACTAGTGAATGATCTTGATATAGTCTTTGTATTATAATATCAGTGATTTAAACTAGACCAAGTGACAAAAGTTCAGTAGTTTTTGATAATGCCCACGCAAATCAAGCAAGCAATAAAACGTGTTCTTACAGACACAGTGCTGTATTTTACACTGACACTCTTAATTACCTCTACAGACACCTGCTATGTCCTATCATTTGCCATCATTATGCTGAAACGACAGAGGCTGCACAGAATCCAAGTCAGAGACAAGCCCCCCGTGGAGCGCTTCATCTCCATGAACAGAGGGATCAATGAGGGGGGAGACCTCCCGGAGGAGCTTCTCAGGGTGAGAGCTTTGACTGTATTCGTTTGTTAGGTGTGACAAATGTATCCAATGTATTGTTGGTAAAACATGTGTAAATACCACTTTGACAATTAAAAGTGTAAAGTACAGCTTTTAATAGATACTGTTGGGTGATTAAGCACAACAAAGAAATTTCACCTATAGGAATTTCTCCATGCAGTGCAGAGTCGTGCCTCACTAATTGAGATATCTGCAGCTCAGCAGAATACCTCCCCAGATACTGATGCTAATGATCTTTCCTGATCTTCCAAAGAAAAACACATAAAAACAAGATGATCTACCCACATACTGTAGTCTGACGTCTGTACCAAAGTACCCTTGGTTTCATTTAAGCAGAAAAAACTCTTTGTCAAAGAGTCTTCCAGCTCCTAGAGTCACTGAGGTATGAATCAATGTCTCCGAAATAGAATCTGTCAATGTCTTGTTTAATGCACCGTTAATCCGAAGGCTGGGTTGAATGTTTCGAGGATGGAGAAAGAGGTGTGCGTGCTCATCTGGAGGTGTTAATGTGAGCTAGTGCTTTTCCATAATGTTCTCTCTTTTTGTTTTCTTTCTCTGTGCAGAATCTATACGACAGCATCAAGAGTGAACCCTTTAAGATCCCAGAGGANNNNCCCAGACAGAGAGGGCTGGCTGCTGAAATTAGGTTAGTGTGTGTCTCCGCGCATTGCCCCGCTGAGGGAATGCAGCACATCCCGGATGACTTTATTTTGTTACTTTCCCACTCTTATCTTGATACAACCGTGGCTTTATTCTCACAGCCGAGTGAGACCTCGAGGATAGAGTGAGGTTGATATCGCTTGTGCTCTCTCACTTGACTGAAAGATATTTAGATGCCATAAACTGAATTAGACTATCACTGGTAAAAGTTTAAATCATGTTGAGTTAAAATCAGATTTAAAGTTTTAGTATTAAACTCACACAAAGCCGGATATATGCATACACACTCTTTTTGTCAAGTTCATAAAGCCGTGCATATGTGTTGCTCACAAAATGGATGTTGGCGCACCCTTAATCGGCTCTTTGCATATCTATAGGTGCATTTCCATCCATCTGTTACGTGCATTTTTAATGTGCATATTAAAGAAGAGAGTGAAGCGCAAAAATGTTTTTACAGTTAGCTGAGGGGGAAGAGCAACAAAGTGCAATTGGAACAGCCCTTCACGTCATCTTGTT